ATACCTCAAAGAACTAGGACTGGAAGTCCCATTTGACCCAGCTATTCCCCTGCTAGGAATCTTCCCCAAAGAATTAAAAGAATCATACCACTGTGATATATGTGTACCCATGTTCATAGCACATAGCACAATTTGTAATAGCTAAAACTTGGAAGTGGCCCAAATCCCCATCAACTGGATTTGATGGGGATAAAGAAAATGTGGGTTTTTTATAAAATGGAGTACTACTCAGCCATAAAAAATGAGAAACTAGAGACTTTTATAGCTAAATGGATGCAGATTGAGGCCATACTCTTAAGTGAAATAAATAGGACACGTGTGTAAATACCAAATAGTTTCTCTAGTGTGACAAACTGAAAGTATAAACAAGGACCAAAAAATATAATAGAAAATGTGATATAGGAAGAAAAGCAGCAAAGTGGAAGGGGAAGTGGGAGGGGTAGGGGAAAGGAAAGAAGGGAATAGAATTAATAGGAGAAAATGAAAAAATAGAAACAAAGTCTTTGTAAATAGGGAGGGATGGAGGGGTTGAAGGGAGGGCAGAGGAAGGGGGAAAAATAAGAACCAAGAGAAATTATGTAAAGGTGCAAATTTCCAATGATGAATGTCATTATATTGTATACCTAAAATGTACCAATAAAACAATCTCTATTTTAAACAAAAAATGTATTGGTGTAAATTGCCAAATTAATGCCATAGACAATTGTTAAATAACAGTGAAAATGAAGAAAATATCTTTTCAGGTTAGAATGATCAAGAAAAGTGCTACAGAAAAAGAATTCAACACATAAATAGGTTTTTTGTGTTGGCTACTGTGGCTATTGTAGCGTTATGCCCACCTAGAAATAGTCTCCTGAGTATTATGGTTTTGTCACTAAAAGAACAGTTCTTGTTCACTGATGTGAGCCCTTTAGCTCAACTGAAGTTAGCAGATTGAAGTATAACAGGGAAGCAAAATCTTTTGTTCAATTCATATGTCACAATAACACAGGAAAGCAGATCACAGAAATCCCAGTCTAGTTCCATCTAATGACTGAAAAAAGAGATGCAAATGCAAAATGAGGGCCAATAACATAAGAATCCTCATAACGGAATATATCTTGAGTAATGGTGTCATTTATAGTGGCTTCATGGTTTCAAGCACCTGTATATAAAAAGTTGACCAGATCACTTCATCACACAAATACATTGTTAAAAACCTTACCTCAGTTCAAGATCATTTATCATTCTCTACATATTATCCAGAATGCTACACAAATAGTATATTCCTTGCCCTCCCAGAGTTTTATTCTAAAAACAATCCTACAAAATGTATTTCTCCTTAAAGCTGACTTAATTTTTATGGTTTTTATTTATTACAGTACAGGGACCCACCAGAAAAGTTCACTTTATACCTTCAAAAGAGGAAGAGAGTGAGGGGATGGAACACAAATGACTGAATCTGAACCAGTGAAAATTATTTAATACATATTAATATTATCCCTTAAAAAGTAGTCTTCAGGTGAATTAATTTGTATATAACAGAACATTTACAACAAATTAATGGAGCATTACTATATTAATCATGAAAGCACAAAGAAGTATAAGACATCTGTTCCTTGTTCTTTCCTAAAGGCTTCTGCCAATTCTCTCCACTCATTTGCTCTCATTTGCCACTCCTTCAGTGAAATGCACAGTGACAATAATCTCATACTCAGAAAACTGCAGGACAAGCATACATGCCCATGGCAATGAGTCAGTGTGAAAAATGTGGCACACTACTTATCACCATTAAAATATTTCCATCACTGATACTCTACTGGAATCACTCCATCACCTTCCAGGGACCTTAATGTTTATTACAAAAACCCTCTAAGCTAGGTGAAGACAAAATTACTTCCAATACAATATGAATCATTCACATAAGAACATTAAGATAAGTTTAAAATTATGCAAAAATACTTGAAAACAATCCACTTTTCTAAAAGTACAATGTACTGAGGGCTAATTCAACAATATATATATGCATATATATTATAATTCATGTTTTGTGTTAATTTCCATTATCTGCCATTATCACTGACTGTAGAGTTGTTTTCTTTTACAAATTTATCCAACGACCTACAAAGCTAGAATATCCTTTGCCTTTATATGAAGGACAGCTATTTTTTTTTTTTTAGTACCAGGGATCAAACTCGACCTTGCACTTGCAAGGCAGGCGGCAGAACCATTGAGCTAAATCCCCAGCCCATTGACAGCTATTTTAAAAGGATCATTAGCTGAAATATATCATATGAAAACATGCTCTCATCATAACAGCTAAGAGTCACATCAGCTAAAGGAGAAACAAAAATAAGCACTTTCTTGTGAGAACATGCTTTTAAATACCTGACATTTTAAACACATTATTGTTTTTTTTACTATATGGGATCTTAGTTGTCCCATCTTAAAAATAAAGAATATACCACTACCTGGTTAGGAAGCAATTATACACTCCCATTCATATATAAGAAATTCCATAAATAATGGGAAGGGGGTTGAAAAAGATCTTTCTGAGATTTTAGTGGCTCAATTTCCTCATCATATTTCCACATAAACACTGAATTATAAATATTTCACACATTATGCCAGAATTATACAAAATAAGCAGAATATCACCAACCAGAAGTATGAGAGAAGGTGTTCTGAATGTGTTAGTAAAGAAAGTCACTTCATTTGAAAGGTTTCTGCTCCTTCAACCTCACCCTCCTTACCAATATACATTCATCACTGAAAAGGGAAATATTTACAAAACTTAGTTTAGTTATGTTTAAATATTATGTTTAGCTGTCTGGAGACCATGTTCTCAAGATTTATACAAGAAATCAAGGATTAAACTTCATAACAATTAGAAAACCACACTGTATAAAATCAAAGACTTAGTTAAAAGACATTAAAATAGTTTAGTCATTGGTGCTAAACTGAAATGATGCCATCTCTTCCCAACACCTGGAACCAAAACTTTTTGAACTTTCATGTAAATAAAGCAGGGCACGCCAAATGCTCGGTCCGCTGCAAGGTACCACCTCTGCACAGGCATTTGGGTGAAAAATGTGGAAAATGCCTGAGAACTCTTTGAAGCAGCTTGGGAGAAGTGAGAGCAGGAAAGAGGCTCTTCTCTAGGGTAAGTTTGTTTAGTAGAAAGTAAGCAAGTTGTCAGGATAAAAGTTGACAATGTTGATTCCAACATTTTGAACTGTGAATAAACATCCAAAGGGATTATGTTACTGAGAATTAGAAGATTCCATTGAACTCAATAGAATACTTGCGTTTTCAAAGATAATATGCTTTTGAGCCACAATCTGGATCCACAGTTTAGGCTTAGAATTCTAAGACTTTTCTATGCTACATTAAAGAACACAGAGTAATGTATGCCTAAAAATATTAAAAAGAAGGAAAATATTTCATTTCCAATCATTTAATGGCAAAGATATACAGAGATACATAAATATAAACTTACATAGATACAGATTTTATAGAGGTAGACTGAAGAAACTTAGAGAAAAATTTATGTTCTTCCCAAACACCTAATCTTAAACTCAGTTTCACTAACCACTTTACGAACATACATCCATTGGCCATAAATTACTCTTAAGTGTTCCTTGCTTAATGATTTATCAAACAGCAAAAAGCAGGGCATATAGTTATGAAATTCATAATCCTCTTCTGTTCTCACCAAAGCTACATTTAAACCTGGCTTTCATCTCGTGCTTTTGAGTTTTCCACCAGGTCCAAATGAAAAGTGGAGAAAATCTTATGTTCTTTGAGAAGCAAAACAATTTGGTTGCCACTTAGCAATTCCTGGTGAAATACCAAGAAGCCTATTTAAAAAGTTAAAGCTGGGCCAGGGATTTAGCTCAGTGGTTTTGCCGCCTGCTGCGCAAGTCCAAGGGCCCGAGTTCGATCCCAGGTACCAAAAAAAAAAGTTAAAATTCTCCTAACTTGGAGTTTACAAAAGTAAATGTGAGCTGTTCCTAGCCTGTCAGATATTCCATCCATTCCTTTTTTAACATTCATAAATAAGGGAAAGCACACACTTGATTTGTTAAAGTTCACTGAGATATAAGCAGATATGCCTTGCATACTCTCAAGTAAATGAAGGTAATTTGGACTGCTCTTCTGGGTTTATCTCAAATTCTAAATGATTCTCACATTAGAGTCTGTGATTACATACACTCTATTCCCAAGCTTAACAAATGCATGAGGCTTGCACGCTCTTTACCAGCAAAGTTTGCAGGAAGTCCTGAAAAAAAGTTGTATCTCTAGGGCTGGGGATTTAGCTCAGTGGTTCCGCCACCTGCCTCCCAAGCTCAAGGACCCGAGTTCAATCCCCAGTACCAAAAAACAGTTTTATCTCTTTGTAGCTCTAACACACATTTGCTTTCTTCCTAGAACTGCAAATATAAGGGATTATGGCTCAGTATCATAGCTTCTATATTCTTAAAAAGAAAATAAAATTCCCCAGGAGGTTTTGGACACCCTCAGCTATTAGTATCTCTTTTACATTTCATCTTTATATTCACTGGGTTCATAGAAGGAGTATACACGGAAAGAGGAAAATAGTTGCTTCTTTTTTTTTTTTTTTTTTTGGTACCGGGGATCTAACTCGGGACCTTGCGCTTGTGAGGCAGGGGCCGGAACCACGGAGGTAAAAATAGTTGCTTCTTTAAAAATATCAACCAAATTTAGTCATTCTTTGAAATCTGCTGGCACACATCTAGAAAGTCATATTTTTTACAAAGTTTCATTGGGTTCTCATTGGTCATGTTTTTTGAAAAAACATGATCAATTACTTTCAGCTTCAAGCCAAAATATATCTGTAAACCATAAGAAATATTTTATAGGAAAATAAGAGTCACTATAGTTTAAAATGTGATATAGTGGGTGGAATCCACACTAGTGCCCCTGAAGCATCAACTTGCCAACTGACAAAGGTCATCAATATAATGCTCCAGGATTCTAGCCAACTCCATTAGCCTTACCTGTTAATATGAGATTACTGTAAGTGTTGGAGAATTGCTCCTTTAGAAGAACCAGTTGCATCTGAGCTGCCTTCTCTCTTTGAAGCTCCAGCATAATATCAGGGTGCTGAGCAATCTTGCAGCCTTTCTGTTTATCCAAGGCAACATCACTTCGAACAATGTCTACAAAAAAAGAAAGAAAGAAAGAAAGAAGGCAGGCAACAAAACCAAAATCTAAAACAAAAAAAAAACACACACCAAAGTCTTATTTCATCCCAAATGACAGATTTTATAAACTACCAGCATTTTCATCAATTTAAAAAGATGCAGAAGTAATAATCCTCAATCCTATAGTGCATCCTGCAAGTTCCCCTGGTTATTTCCAAATTCTTTGAATATTCTCTGTGCTTTAGGTGTCTCTAGCCTCATTAAAGATTTTACTCATACATTCTCCTTAGCTCTTCTCTACAATTTAATTTCTGTGGCCTTTTCTCATCTTTTTATTTATTATTTTCCCTAGGGAATAACAATATAACTGAAAATTAGTGACTGACTGTGAAGATCATTTCCTCTACCTCATGCTATAGGACCAGGTGTTAGCTCCAGCATGTGCATTCTGAATACTTTGTCTACTTTCAAATTCATCTCCCAGGCAGACCACTCAGTCCAAGTTAGGGTTGCCATCCAATAGGTAACCTGGTCAGGGTTTCTTCTGTCGTTTTTCATGTACCTCGGGAAATAACTTCATTCTTGCCCAGTAATAACTCTGAATCCAGAAAAAAATTTATGAGTCAGTGAAGTCAGCAAAAAGAGCTCTAGAGTCACTTTGCAGATCTGCCTTTTCCCCAATTATTTTCCCATTAATGACAAGCTGCTCCAGTATGATTTTTTTACTCAAAACAGATATACTCTCCCCAAAACAGGCTTCCTCAAAAAGAAACAATCATATAGAATGTTTCCCAAAAGAATATGTTCATTTTACAAATTAAAACAAAAAAAAACACAAAATAAGAATGAATCAATTCAGTCACACACTCTCATTTTTAAACCTATCCATCAGAAGACAGGAGGAATCATTTATTTATTTAAACTATACTCTACGTAACTTTTTAAATAGACCATCTCACTGAATCCTTCAATTAACCTATTAAAGGAAGTGACAGATATTGTTGACTGGCTGACCCAAAGCCAAACACAATTCCTTTTCCTTGATTTCCTCTAGTATAGAGATCAAAAGCTACACTATATGATTTCCTAACTTTCCTTAAAGCAAAGAGTGCCCATGTAACATAGTTCAGCCCAATTAGTTACAGAAAGACATCTCAAAGGCCACTCTCTTTGCCAAATTAAAACTCAAAGCCTGGGCCAGGGATTTAGCTCAGTGGTTCCAGCACCCGCCTTGCAAGCGCAAGGTCCTGAGTTCAATCTCCGGTACCAAAAAAAAAAAAAAAAAAAATCAAGGCCTCACTAAGAGACAACCAGTCTTTCTCATTTGTTTTACACTTTCCTATTCTTTAAACATTAAATATAGACATGAAGCCCATACTTACATTAATCATTTTGTGGCCATGAGTCAAGAAGCAAGAGGGAAAAAGACTATACTAAGAATATCAAACCAAAAAATGGAAAGAGCCTAAACACTCTTTATAAACTAGTCTTTATTAACTAGACTGTCTTTTTTACAAGAGATAAACACATTATTCATGTGTCATGGCTTGTATCTAGATGTCCCCGCAAAGCCTCATGCACTCATAAGTGGGGCTTTTTGGAAGTAGCTAGATCTAGGGTGTATGAATATGAATTAAAGGTGCATGATAATTGGATTAGTCCACTGATTGGTTTAGCATAGTTTTGGGTGTGGGTAATGGGAAGCCCTACCCTGGGTGTGGGTGGTACCAACCAATAGGTTTGTGGCCTAGATGGAATATAAAGGGAAAGTTGGAGGGCAGGCTTACTGCCTTCTGCCAGCCCTGCCGTGGACCGTTTCTCTTCTGCCATGCCCCTCTGCCGTGCTACCCTGCCTTGGAACCAGCTATGGACTAAAACCTCTACAAACTGTGAACTAAAATAAACCTTACCTCCTTTAACTTGTAGGGGTCAGGTAATTAGTACTATTTTCCCTCTTTTATATCTCAAAAAACCATGATCTACAAAATTTAAGTGACTTGCTCATGTTCACACCGCCTAGTCAGTTCTCAAATCCAGGAATCTTTAAAGGCAAGTCCAGCGCTATTTCCAGAAGTTACTGCTATTTGGAAACCTATGAGCTTAATAGTTTTTAATACAGTAAGTCCTCAACTTATACCTGTAAGTTGACTCATTTGTAAGTCTGACAAAATGAGTTTTATATATCTTTGATACAAATATACAAGTAAAATAAAAAAAAAGAAAACCAAATACAACATCTGTTCGCATCTGTGAAAGTTCATAACTCAAATGTTCATAAGTTGGGGATTTACTATAATGGAATTACATTAAATAATGAGTGAGGAATTAAAATGTCAAAGCTGAATTTAACTATTATAGTAGTATACCAAAGAATGTCTATCTGGAAAGAAGTATAAATGATATTTTCTTAGAAAACATTATAAACCTTGTATTAAAATCTACTGTAAACAATGAGGAATTTCAACCAACCCAGTGCTTTCTGATAGGAGTCTAATTAGAAGAGTAAAATATGTACTAAACTATTTCCCAGCTGACAATTGTAACTGATATTATCATCATTGTATTAAGAATATTTTTTAAAACCAGGAACATGGCCAAACATATGTCCTAGGCTTTAGAAAAGTACCTTTCAAAATTGCTTTAAAAATACTGTATGTAGGGCTGGGGATTTAGCTCAGTGGTTTCACCGCCTGCTATGCAAGCGCAAGGACCCGAGTTCAATCCCCGGTACCAAAAAAAAAAAAAAAAAATATTGTATGGAATCTTTTTTTTTTTGCTTAAATTCTTTTATTGGTACATTTAAGTATACAATACATTTACATTTATCATTGGGTGATTGTACCTATACATGATGTATCTTGGTTCTTATTTTTTCTTTGTTTAACCATTATCTGTTTGAAATTGTATCAATGGCTAACTAAATACAAAGCAAGGTTATATGTCAAAGATATTCCTCCATATACCAGAAGAAAGAGTTAATATGATTGATGACAGACTAAAAATTTAAAATTATCTTGGCAACCTAAAAACTCAAACCAAAACCTGAAAGATGGATGATGAAGACATGAACATGAAGTCCTGCATTTATACTGAAAATTAGTTTGATAAGGTAGTATGGGAAAGCCAGACCAGATAGAAGCTCATGTATTTAGGATCTTATTAGAATTTGTAGGCTTTAGTTGAATGCAACTTTATTATAAGTCATTGCTATGATATTGTTCCCAGAAACATTAATGCAATCTTAGTCTAAATTAGTAGAAGTAGAGCACAAATAATACAGAAGGCATAACTGTCTCTGCATTTCACACCAGTCAACTGCAACATACTGAAGAGTTTAAAGTGCAAGCATACCTTAGTTCAAATTCTGGTCTGGTAGTCACTTATTAGTTGTAGAAATAGCAGATAAATACTCTACACCTCAATAACATATACTGTTTTCGTAAAGATATTTTGCAATATGCATACCACATATTAAGAGTTCAATAAAGAGTAGGTGTTATTAATTTTGTTATTAACAGACTGGTTTGTGGTATTATATTTCTACCTGTAATAATCTCAGAAGCACAATGATAACCTAGAATACTGATGGTGAACCTCTTAGAGCTTTTAATGATAATAAACAGCCCACTGCAGCATGCATGCCATAGGTTTACCACCACTTGCCTACAGCATCCCCAAAGAAATTACAAAGATGGGAAATAATTTTGGTTTTTAAAAATAACAACACCAACAAAAACCCTCTGAGCCTGTTGAGCCTGGCAAAGGAAAAACAAAATACAACTTGTTTCATATACAAGAGAGAGCTGATTTATCCAACGCTGATCGAGAAAACAAAACCAAAGATTACCAACCTTTTAAGAGTAACCAAATACAGACATCTCAGTTCTACGTGAGAAAACTTTGTAACAACAGAATGAATCAAATAAGGAATAGGGCTACTTGAGAAGAAAGGGAATTTCCTATCCTGAAAAACATTCAAGCAGAGACCAGGTGATACAGGCACAATAATATGATTCTAATATTGGCATTAAAACTTGCAGGTACAGGATTGAGTATTTTATGGGACCCAATACAGCAGAATAGTTAAACATACAGGTTTTGAATTCGCCTGGATACAAATTTGTATCCCACATTGGTATGAGTTTGAATAACAGACAGCTCTTGGACAACAGATAAATCTCTCAATGCCTTAACTGATTTTTAAAAATTAAAATAGTACTAGCTTATTTTTAATGAATTTACCACAGGATAGAAACATAGTAGAGCCGGGTGTGGTGGTGCATACCTGTAAACCCAGCACTCAGGAAGCTGAGGCAAGAGGATCACCTCCTGAGTCTAAGGCCAGCCTGGGCTACATACTGAGTTCAAGGCCAGCCTGAACTGCATAGCAAGACACTGTCTCAAGAAAAATAAAAATAGAAAGATATGAAGCATGTTTTGGTGGTTGCCAGTATTATCAGATTACTATAATTACAATTATATCAGAAAGTTATTGTTACAGGATAATATTCTGAAGAATTTTTAACTGAAGGATTTTATGGGTCCATGGAAATGTGTGCTTGTCTTGTTTTTACCAGACATAACAGAAAGAATAAAGACTCAATGCAAGAAGACTTAGATATTAACTGACAATTAGCCAAATAATCATAAAACTATAGAGCAGAAATTTTAAATTTTTCCTTGATTTTTTTTCCTGACCTAGCTAATTAGGAAGGTGCTGGTCTGAACTCTAAATCTTCACTAGCTCATTCTACTAGCTGTCCTACTCTCGCTGATATTCTTTGTTGTTCTATTATCAAAGCAGTTCTACATTTTAGCCCAAATACAAATCTATCCATAGTCCTTTCTTCATCTCCTCCTATGATCCTTACCCTGCTACATAGTTTAAGGATGCCAAAAGACTTGACGTGTACCCTGAAGGAGACAACAAGGAAGATAGTATTTTGCACCTAATTTAATGTCCTAGAATCAAATTAGTGTCCATAATTACTTCTGGACATTAAGTATGGGAATGT